TAAATGGGTTTTCTATGGGGTCTTGAAGGCATCTATAGGGGGTTTATGGGGTTAAATGGGGTTCTATGCGGTCTTGAAGGCATCTAGAGGGGGTTTATGGGGTTAAATGGGGTTCTATGGGGTCTTGAAGGCATCTAGAGGGGGTTTATGGGGTTAAATGGGGTTCTATGGGGTCTTGAAGGCATCTAGAGGGGGTTTATGGGGTTAAATGGGGGCTCTATGGGGTCTTGAAGGCATCTATAGGGGGTTTATGGGGTTAAATGGGGGTTCTATGGGGTCTTGAAGGCATCTATAGGGGGTTTATGGGGTTAAATGGGGGTTCTATGGGGTCTTGAAGGCATCTATAGGGGGTTTATGGGGTTAAATGGGGGTTCTATGGAGTCTTGAAGGCATCTATAGGGGGTTTATGGGGTTAAATGGGTTGTCTATGGGGTCTTGAAGGCATCTAGAGGGGGTTTATGGGGTTAAATGGGTTTTCTATGGGGTCTTGAAGGCATCTATAGGGGGTTTATGGGGTTAAATGGGGGTTCTATGGGGTCTTGAAGGCATCTATAGGGTGTTCTATGGGGTCAGGAGGTACCTGGAGCACCAGAACCCTGCGGTAGGACAGGGCAGGATGGTGCTGGAGCTCCACCATGGCCCCAGGAGAGCTCTCCCCACGGTTCCTCAGGGTCAGGACCACGTCCACCCCATCGTTGACCCCCAAAACCAGCGTCTCCAGCCTATGGGGTTGGTTGTGGGGTGATGGGATATGGGGGGGTGGGGATACATAGACACGATGTGGGGCTGCCCCATAGAGGGGGGTGGGACCTACCCTGAGATGTTGAGGGAGAGATGGAGGTCGTCAACGCAGACGTTGTCGGGGCCGCAGTTGAGGTTGAAGGGGAGCTTGGAGGTACCAGGTCCATGGGTCCATTGCCCCCCCATTGCCCCCCATTGTCCCCCATTGACCAACTGTTGATCACCCATTGGCCACCCATTGACCATCATCGGCCACCCATTGACCAACCATTGACCACCCATTGACCCCATTGCCACCCATTGACCACCCATTGATCGCCCATTGGCCACCCATTGACCACCCATTGATCGCCCATTGGCCACCCATTGACCACCCATTGACCACCCATTGGCCACCCATTGACCACCCATTGACCACCCATTGGCCACCCATTGACCACCCATTGGCCACCCATTGATCACCCATTGACCACCCATTGATTGCCCTTTGGCCACCCATTGACAACCCATTGACCACCCATTGACCACCCATTGGCCACCCATTGGCCACCCATTGACCAACCATTGACCAACCATTGGCCACCCATAGATCGCCCATTGGCCACCCATTGACCTCCCATAGCCCCCCCATTGCCCCGCCATTACCCCCCCATTGCCCCACCTTGCCCTCGGCCACCGTCTCCGTGTCCCCACTCAAGCCAGGCCGGAGCCCCCCGGCCACCTCCAAGGGTTCTCCAATGGCCTCATAGCCCAACCTCAACACCACCGGCGTCACCGTGTCCCTCGGACACCCCTGCACGCATGAACACCCCCATTGACCCCCATTGCCTCCATGGGGCTGCCCCATAACTTCCTTCCCCCCCCTTCCCAAGGACCCACCACCAAGGCTATGGGGTAGGTCCTGCACTGTTGGCCAAGCCCCAGTTGGATGCTCCCATTGAGGACGTCGGCGCCGGTAACAAAGATGGCGCGGGCCACGGTCCTCCCGGGGTCCAGGGCTGCCCGGTACCGCAGCCTGGTGGCCACTTGGCTTCCTATGGGGAGAAGAGGGGGGGGCTGAAGGCATCTGGATGGGGGTTTGGAGGGTTAGGGGGAGGGGGAGGGTTAGGGGTAGGGTTAGGGTTAGGGTTGGGGTTATGGTTATGGTTAGGGTTAGGGTTATGGCTATGGTTATGGTTAGTGTTATGGTTATGGTTAGTGTTAGGGTTAGGGTTATGGTTAGGGTTAGGGTTGGGGTTGGAGTTATGGTTATGGTTAGTGTTAGGGTTATGGTTATGGTTAGGGTTAGGGTTAGTTTTAGGGTTAGGGTTAGGGTTAGGGTTATGGTTAGGGTTAGGGTTAGGGGTAGGGTTAGTTTTAGGGTTAGGGTTAGGGTTAGGGGTAGGGTTAGGGTTGGGGTTGGGGTTAGGGTTATGGTTAGTGTTAGGGTTATGGTTAGGGTTAGGGTTAGGGTTAGGGTTAGTTTTAGGGTTAGGGTTAGGGTTAGGGTTAGGGTTGGGCTTGGGGTTATGGTTATGATTAGGGTTAGGGTTAGGGTTAGAGTTTGGGTTATGGTTAGGTTTAGGGTTAGGGTTAGGGTTAGGGTTAGGGTTAGGGTTAGGGTTAGTTTTAGGGTTATGGTTCGGGTTAGGGTTAGGATTAGGGTTAGGGTTATTGTTAGGGATAGGGTTGGGTTTGGGTTTATGGTTATGGTTAGTGTTAGGTTTAGTGTTAGGGTTAGGGTTATGGTTATGGTCAGGGTTAGATTTTGTGTTGGGGTTAGGTTTAGGTTTAGGGTTACGGTTGGGGTTGGGGTTATGGTTATGGTTAGGTTTAGGGTTAGGGTTAGAGTTATGGTTAGGGTTAGGGTTAGGGTTAAGGTTAGGGTTAGGGTTAGGGTTAAGGTTATGGTTAGTATTGGGGTTAGGTTTAGGTGTTAGGTTTATGTTGTGTGTTATTGTTAGGTTTATGGTTAGGTTTAGGGTTATGGTTATGTTTAGGATAGGGTTAATATTAGTGTTGTGGTTACGGTTATTTTTAGGGTGCGTTGATGTCCATTTGGGGCTCACCAAAGCTATCCGGGGTCTTCTTGGAGGTCCGGAAACAGATCCTGGCCTTGGCCACCTCCCTATGGGGCTGCTCCTCCTCTTGGCAGCCCAAGGAGGACACCGGGATCTGGGTGGGTTCGAAGGTCACCAGGACCTTGATCTTGAGGAGGGGGCGGGACCTGGTGGGGTTGGGGGCGTGGTCACCATGGGGGTGGTCGCTATGGGGTTGGTTGCCATGGGGATGGGGATGGTCACCATAGGGATGGTTACCATGAGATGGGGATGGTCTCCATGGCGGTGGTTGCCATGGGGATGGGATGGTGATGGTCACCATGGTGATGGTTGCCATGGGGATGGGGATGGTGATGGTCACCATGGGGATGGTCACCATAGGGATGGTCACCATGGGATGCGGATGGGGATGGTCACCATGGGATGGGGATGATGATGGTCACCATGGGATGGGGATGGTCGCCATGGGATGGGGATGGTCACCATAGAGATGGTCACCATGGGATGGGGATGGTCACCATGGGATGGGGATGGGGATGGTCTCCATGGCGATGGTTGCCATGGGGATGGTGATGGTCACCATAGAGATGGTCACCATAGGGATGGTCACCATGGGATGGGGATGATGATGGTCACCATGGGATGGGGATGGTCACCATAGGGATGGTCACCATGGGATGGGGATGATGATGGTCACCATGGGATGGGGATGGTCGCCATAGGGATGGTCACCATGGGGTGGGGATGGGGATGGTCACCATGGGGATGGTCACCATGGGATGGGGATGGTCACCATGGTGATGGTTGCCATGGGGATGGGGATGGTGATGGTCACCATAGGGATGGTCACCATGGGGTGGGGATGGGGATGGTCACCATAGGGATGGTCACCATAGGGATGGTCACCATGGGATGGGGATGGTTGCCATAGGGATGGTCACCATGGGATGGGGATGATGATGGTCACCATGGGATGGGGATGGTCACCATAGGGATGGTCACCATGGGATGGGGATGATGATGGTCACCATGGGATGGGGATGGTCACCATAGGGATGGTCACCATGGGATGGGGATGATGATGGTCACCATGGGATGGGGATGGTCGCCATAGGGATGGTCACCATGGGGTGGGGATGGGGATGGTCACCATGGGGATGGTCACCATGGGATGGGGATGATGATGGTCACCATGGGGATGGTCACCATGGGATGGGGATGGTGATGGTCACCATGGGGATGGTCACCATGGGGTGGGGATGGGGATGGTCTCCATGGCGATGGTTGCCATGGGGATGGTGATGGTCACCATAGAGATGGTCACCATGGGATGGGGATGGTCACCATGGGGATGGTCACCATGGGATGGGGATGATGATGGTCACCATGGGATGGGGATGGTTGCCATAGGGATGGTCACCATGGGATGGGGATGGTCACCATGGCGATGGTTGCCATGGGGATGGGGTTGGTCTCCATGGCGGTGGTTGCCATGGGGATGGGATGGTGATGGTCACCATGGGGATGGTCGCCATGGGATGGGGATGATGATGGTCACCATGGCGATGGTTGCCATGGGGATGGGGTTGGTACCTGAGGAGCAGGACCTGGCCGTGGGCCCCGATGGCCACATCCGGTAGGTTGTCCCCGCTCAGGTCCCGCCCCCCGCTCAGCGCCTGCCCGAAGTGGTGCGGGGACGAGGGGAAGGAGGAGCCAGAGATGCGCTGCGGGGACAATGGGATCCAATGGGGCGCAATGGGGCTCAATGGGATCCAATGGATGCAGTGGGGCATAATGGGATCCAATGGATGCAATGGGGCACAATGGGATCCAATGGATGCAGTGGGGCACAATGGGATCCAATGGATGCAGTGGGGCACAATGGGATCCAATGGATGCAGTGGGGCACAATGGGATCCAATGGATACAGTGGGGCACAATGGGATCCAATGGATGGAATTGGACACAATGGAATCCAATGGATGCAATGGGGCACAATGGGATCCAATGGATGCAATGGGGCGCAATGGGGCACAATGGGATCCAATGGATACAGTGGGGCACAATGGGATCCAATGGATGGAATTGGACACAATGGAATCCAATGGATGCAATGGGGCACAATGGGATCCAATGGATGCAATGGGGCACAATGGGACACAATGGGATTCAATGGCTTCCAATGGGACACAATGGATCCAATGGGGCACAATGGGGCACAATGGGTCCCAATGGGATCCAATGGATGCAATGGGGCACAATGGGGCACAACGGGATCCAATGGGACACAATGGATCCAATGGGGCACAATGGGGCACAGTGGGATCCAATGGGGCACAATGGATACAATGGGGCACAATGGGGCACAACGGGATCCAATGGGACACACTGGATACAATGGGGCACAATGGGGCACAACGGGATCCAATGGGGCACAATGGATCCAATGGGGCACAATGGGGCACAATGGGTCCCAATGGGATCCAATGGATGCAATGGGACACAATGGGGCACAACGGGATCCAATGGGTCACAATGGATCCAATGGGGCACAATGGGGCACAACGGGATCCAATGGGACACAATGGATACAATGGGGCACAATGGGGCACAACGGGATCCAATGGGACACAATGGATCCAATGGGGCACAATGGGGCACAATGGGATCCAATGGATGCAATGGGGCACAATGGGGCACAACGGGATCCAATGGGACACAATGGATCCAATGGGGCACAATGGGGCACAACGGGATCCAATGGGACACACTGGATACAATGGGGCACAATGGGGCACAACGGGATCCAATGGGACACAATGGATACAATGGGGCACAATGGGGCACAATGGGATCCAATGGATGCAATGGGGCACAATGGGGCACAACGGGATCCAATGGGACACAATGGATCCAATGGGGCACAATGGGGCACAACGGGATCCAATGGGACACAATGGATCCAATGGGGCACAATGGGGCACAATGGGATCCAATGGATGCAATGGGGCACAATGGGATCCAATGGATACAATGGGGCACAATGGGGCACAATGGGATCCAATGGCTTCCAATGGGACACAATGGATACAATGGGGCACAATGGGGCACAATGGGGCACAATGGGACCCAACGGACCCAATGGGGCACAATGGGATCCAATGGAGGACAATGGCACCCAATGGGGGACAATGGATATCCCCCCATAGACATCCCATAGACCCCCTGTAGATTCATGTCTCCCTACCCCATATCCCATACCCCATATAGCCCAGATTCCCTATATCCAATATACCCCATACCCCCTACACCCCCCATACCCCCCATACCCCCCCATACCCCCCATACCCCCTACACCCCCCATACCCCCTACACCCCCCATACCCCCTACACCCCCCATACCCCGCATACCCCCCATACACCCCATACCCCCTACACCCCCCATACCCCCCATACCCCCTACACCCCCCATACCCCCCATACCCCCCATACCCCCCATACCCCCCATACCCCCCATACCCCCCATACCCCCCATACCCCCCATACCCCCCATACCCCCCATACCCCCCATACCCCCCATACCCCCCCCCCCCCATATACCCCATACCCCCCATACCCCCCATACACCCCATACCCCCCATACCCCCCATATACCCCATACCCCCCATACCCCCCATACCCCCCATACCCCCCCATTCCCCCCATACCACCCATGCCCCCCATACCCCCTACACCCCCCATAACCCCCATACCCCCCATACACCCCATACCCCCTACACCCCCCATATCCCCCCCATTCCCTATGCCCATACCTGGCTGTACTCCCGTCTCACCCCACTGCTGTGCCCCCGGAAGACGTAGACGGCGCCGCCCCCCATCTCCTCCATGGGGGCCCCCACGGCCACCTCGGGCCACCCATCCCCATCCACGTCCCCCAGTGGGGCCAGGCTGGACCCAAAGCGCCCCAAAGGGTGCCCGGCCTGGCCCCGTAGGGAGCCTTGGCAATGGAGCTGCCCCCCCTATAGGTACATGGGGGGTGGGAGGGGACAGGGGGTGGCATGGTGGTCAATGGGGGTGGAGATGGGGTGAGGGGGGGCTCATCTATGGGGTGAGAGGGACTTCAATGGGGTCATCTATGGGGTGATATGGAGCTCAATGGGGGCATCTATGGGGTGAGGGGGAGCTCATCTATGGGGTGAGGGGGAGCTCATCTATGGGGTGAGGGGGAGCTCATCTATGGGGGGACATGGAGGTCAATGGGGGTGAATATGGGGTGAGGGGGCTCATCTATGGGGTGAGCTCATCTATGGGGTGAGGGGGAGCTCATCTATGGGGTGATGGGGAGCCCATCTATGGGGTGATACGGAGCTCAATGGGGGCATCTATGGGGTGAGGGGGAGCTCATCTATGGGGTGAAGGGGACGTCAATGGGGCCATCTATGGGGTGATCGCGAGCTCATCTATGGGGTGACATGGAGGTCAATGGGGGTGAATATGGGGTGAGGGGGAGCTCATATGGGGTGAGAGAGAGCTCATCTATGGGGTGAGGGGGGGCTCATCTATGGGGTGAGGGGGAGCTCATCTATGGGGTGAGGGGGAGCTCATCTATGGGGTGACATGGTGGTCAATGGGGGTGGATATGGGGTGAGGGGGGGCTCATCTATGGGGTGAGGGGGAGCTCATCTATGGGGTGAGAGGGACTTCAATGGGGTCATCTATGGGGTGATACAGAGCTCAATGGGGGCATCTATGGGGTGAGGGGGAGCTCATCTATGGGGTGATATGGAGCTCATCTATGGGTGATGGGGACGTCAATGGGGCCATCTATGGGGTGATATAGAGCTCATCTATGGGGTGATATGGGGCTCATCTATGGGGTGATGGGGAGCTCATCTATGGGGTGACATGGTGGTCAATGGGGGTGGATATGGGGTGAGGGGGGCTCATCTATGGGGTGAAGGGGACGTCAATGGGGCCATCTATGGGGTGATATAGAGCTCATCTATGGGGTGACATGGAGGTCAATGGGGGTGAATATGGGGTGAGGGGGAGCTCATCTATGGGGTGAAGGGGACGTCAATGGGGCCATCTATGGGGTGATATAGAGCTCATCTATGGGGTGACATGGAGGTCAATGGGGGTGAATATGGGGTGAGGGGGAGCTCATCTATGGGGTGAGAGAGAGCTCATCTATGGGGTGAGGGGGGGCTCATCTATGGGGTGAGGGGGAGCTCATCTATGGGGTGAGGGGGAGCTCATCTATGGGGTGACATGGTGGTCAATGGGGGTGGATATGGGGTGAGGGGGGGCTCATCTATGGGGTGAGGGGGAGCTCATCTATGGGGTGAGAGGGACTTCAATGGGGTCATCTATGGGGTGATACAGAGCTCAATGGGGGCATCTATGGGGTGAGGGGGAGCTCATCTATGGGGTGATATGGAGCTCATCTATGGGTGATGGGGACGTCAATGGGGCCATCTATGGGGTGATATAGAGCTCATCTATGGGGTGATATGGGGCTCATCTATGGGGTGATGGGGAGCTCATCTATGGGGTGACATGGTGGTCAATGGGGGTGGATATGGGGTGAGGGGGGCTCATCTATGGGGTGAGGGGGGGCTCATCTATGGGGTGAGAGGGACTTCAATGGGGTCATCTATGGGGTGATACGGAGCTCAATGGGGGCATCTATGGGGCGAGGGGGAGCTCATCTATGGGGTGAGGGGGAGCTCATCTATGGGGTGACATGGTGGTCAATGGGGGTGGAGATGGGGTGAGGGGGGGCTCATCTATGGGGTGAGGGGGAGCTCATCTATGGGGTGAGGGGGAGCTCATCTATGGGGTGAGAGGGACTTCAATGGGGTCATCTATGGGGTGATATGGAGCTCAGTGAGGGCATCTATGGGGTGAGGGGGAGCTCATCTATGGGGTGAGAGGGACTTCAATGGGGTCATCTATGGGGTGATATGGAGCTCAATGGGGGCATCTATGGGGTGAGGGGGGGCTCATCTATGGGGTGAGAGGGACTTCAATGGGGTCATCTATGGGGTGATATGGAGCTCAATGGGGGCATCTATGGGGTGAGGGGGAGCTCATCTATGGGGTGATATGGAGCTCATCTATGGGTGATGGGGACGTCAATGGGGCCATCTATGGGGTGATATAGAGCTCATCTATGGGGTGACATGGAGGTCAATGGGGGTGGATATGGGGTGAGGGGGAGCTCATCTATGGGGTGACATGGAGGTCAATGGGGGTGGATATGGGGTGAGGGGGGGCTCATCTATGGGGTGAGGGGGAGCTCATCTATGGGGTGAGGGGGAGCTCATCTATGGGGTGATATGGAGCTCAATGGGGGCATCTATGGGGTGAGGGGGAGCTCATCTATGGGGTGATATGGAGCTCATCTATGGGTGATGGGGATGTCAATGGGGCCATCTATGGGGTGATATGGGGCTCATCTATGGGGTGATGGGGAGCTCATCTATGGGGTGATGGGGGGCTCATCTATGGGGTGATGGGGAGCTCATCTATGGGGTGAGATGGAGCTCAATGGGTCCATCTATGGGGTGGGACCCACCTTGGTCCGGAGGCTGCAGACGACCACGCGGCCGCCGCTGTTGGCCCCATAGAACATGGGGGCTCCCACCAGCACCACGTTGTCCAGCCCATCCCCATCGGGGTCTAGGGAGCAGAGGGAGGCCCCAAAGTAGGAGCCCACCTATGGGGGAGGGAGGAGATGTGGGGCTGCCCCATAGCGGGGGCGTCAAGCAAGACCCATAGGTCAAGCAAGACCCATAGATCAACCAAGATCGATAGATCACCCAAGACCCATCCATCACCCAAGACCCATAGATCACCCAAGACCCATTCATCACCCAAGACCCATAGATCAACCAAGACCCATCCATCACCCAAGACCCATCCATCACCCAAGACCCATTCATCACCCAAGACCCATAGATCAACCAAGACCGATCGGTCACCCAAGACCCATCCATCACCCAAGACCCATAGATCACCCAAGACCCATAGATCACCCAAGAACCATCCATCACCCAAGACCCATCCATCACCCAAGACCCATAGATCAACCAAGACCCATCCATCACCCAAGACCCATAGATCACCCAAGACCCATCCATCACCCAAGACCCATCCATCACCCAAGACCCATAGATCACCCAAGACCCATAGATCAACCAAGACCCATAGATCACCCAAGACCCATAGATCAACCAAGACTGATAGATCACCCAAGACCCATAGATCACCCAAGACCCATAGATCACCCAAGACCCATTCATCACCCAAGACCCATAGATCACCCAAGACCCATCCATCACCCAAGACCCATAGATCAACCAAGACCCATCCATCACCCAAGACCCATAGATCACCCAAGACCCATAGATCAACCAAGACCGATAGATCAACCAAGACCCATAGATCACCCAAGACCCATAGATCAACCAAGACCCATAGATCAACCAAGACCCATCCATCACCCAGGACCCATCCATCACCCAAGACCCATAGATCACCCAAGACCCATAGATCAACCAAGACCGATAGATCACCCAAGACCCATAGATCACCCAAGACCCATAGGTCAACCAAGACCGATAGATCACCCAAGACCCATAGATCACCCAAGACCCATAGATCACCCAAGACCCATCCATCACCCAAGACCCATAGATCGCCCAAGACCCATCCATCACCCCCCATGTCCCCCCCTACCCCTGATGCGCCCCATAACCACGTCCCTTCACCTGTGTCCCCATGGCCTGGCCCAGCACCTCCCCGCTATGGGGCTGGAGCAGGAGGACGCGGCCAACGTGGTTGGACCGGGGGGCCCCGAGCGCCAGCGCCCGGCCCCATGGAAGAGACAGGGGCTCCATCACGTACCCTATGGCACAAGGGACCCCATTGGTCATCATGGGACATCGATGATGTCATTGGTCACCATGGGGACATCGACGACCCCATTGGTCATCATGGGACGTCGATGATGTCATTAGTCACCATGGGGACATCGATGACGTCATTAATCATCATGGGACATCGATGACGTCATTGGTCACCATGGGGACATCGACGACCCCATTGGTCGTCATGGGACATCGATGACGTCATTGGTCACCATGGGGACATCGACGACCCCATTGGTCATCATGGGACATTGACGATCCCATAGGTCATCATGGGACGTCGATGACGTCATTGGTCACCATGGGGACATCGACGACCCCATTGGTCATCATGGGACATCGATGATGTCATTGGTCACCATGGGGACATCGACGACCCCATTGGTCATCATGGGACATCGATGACGTCATTGGTCACCATGGGGACAACGACGACCCCATTGGTCATCATGGGACATCGATGACGTCATCGGTCACCATGGGGACATCGATGACGTCATTAATCATCATGGGACATCGATGACGTCATTGGTCACCATGGGGACATCGACGACCCCATTGGTCATCATGGGACGTCGATGACGTCATTGGTCATCATGGGGACATCGATGACGTCATTAATCATCACGGGACATCGATGACGTCATTGGTCACCATGGGGACATCAAGAACCCCATTGGTCATCATGGGACATCGATGACGTCATTGGTCACCATGGGGACATCGATGACGTCATTAATCATCATGGGACATCGATGACGTCATTGGTCACCATGGGACATTGACGATCCCATTGGTCATCATGGGACGTCGATGACGTCATTGGTCATCATGGGCCATTGACGACCCCATTGGTCATCATGGGACATCGATGACGTCATTGGTCATCATGGGGACATCGATGACCCCATTGGTCCTCACGGGGACCCCAACGTCTCCCATAGACCCCATGAGGCCCCCAAGGCACCCCCCAGGGCTGCCCCACACGGTGCCTATGGGGGGGGTCCTCACCCAGGTAGGAATCGCTGGGGACCCCGGAGGCGTTGAGGAACGCGGCTGCCCCATTGGCCCCATAGGAAAAGGCGCCTCCGGCCCAGGTGTAGGCACCCACAGCACCCAGGATGGGCCCATCCTGCGCCATGGGGGGGACATAGGGTCACACCATGGGGATGCCATGGGGAAGCTATGGGGATGCTATGGGGATGCTATGGGGTTATCATAGGGATGCTATGGGGATGCTATAGGGATTCTATGGGGATGCTATGGGGATGCTATGGGGTTATCATAGGGATGCTATGGGGATGCTATGGGGATGCGATGGGGATGCTATGGGGATGCTATAGGGATTCTATGGGGATGCTATGGGGATGCTATGGGGTTATCATAGGGATGCTATGGGGATGCTATGGGGATGCTATGGGGATGCTATGGGGATGCTATGGGGATGCTATGGGGATGCTATAGGGATGCTATAGGGATGCTATGGGGATGCTATGGGGATGCTATAGGGATGCTATGGGGATGCTATGGGGATGCTATGGGGATGCTATGGGGATGCTATGGGGATGCTATGGGGATGCTATGGGGATGATATAGGGATGCTATGGGGATGCTATGGGGATGCTATGGGGATGCTATGGGGATGCGATGGGGATGCTATGGGGATGCTATGGGGATGCTATGGGGATGATATAGGGATGCTATGGGGATGCTATGGGGATATCATAGGGATGCTATGGGGATGCTATAGGGATGCTATGGGGATGATACAGGGATGCTACGGGGATGCTATAGGGATGCTACAGGGATGCTATAGGGATGCTATAGGGATGCTATGGGGATGCTATGGGGATGCTATGGGGATGCTATAGGGATGCTATGGGGATGATACAGGGATGCTATGGGGATGCTATAGGGATGCTACAGGGATGCTATAGGGATGCTATAGGGATGCTATGGGGATGCTATGGGGATGCTATGGGGATGCTATAGGGATGCTATGGGGATGATACAGGGATGCTGTGGGGATGCTATAGGGATGCTATGGGGATGCTATGGGGATGCTATGGGGATGCTATAGGGATGCTATGGGGATGATACAGGGATGCTATGGGGATGCTATGGGGATGCTGTGGGGATGCTATGGGGATGCTATGGGGATGCTATGGGGATGCTATGGGGATGCTATGGGGATGCGATGGGGATGCTATGGGGATGCTATAGGGATGCTACAGGGATGCTATAGGGATGCTATAGGGATGCTATGGGGATAACATAGGGATGCTATGGGGATGATATAGGGATGCTATGGGGATGCTATAGGGATGCTGTAGGGATTCTATGGGGATGCTATGGGGATGCAATGGGGATGCAATGGGGATGCGATGGGGATGCTATGGGGATACCATGGGGATGCTATGGGGATCTATGGGGATGCTATGGGGATGCTATGGGGATGCTATGGGGATGCAATGGGGATGCTATGGGGATGCGATGGGGATGCTATGGGGATGCTATGGGGATGCGATGGGGATGCTGTGGGGATGCTGCGGGGATGCTATGGGGATGCTATGGGGATGCTATGGGGATGCTATGGGGATGCTGTGGGGATGCTGTGGGGATGCTATGGGGATGCTATGGGGATGCTATGGGCTCCCCATGGGATGCTATGGGGATGCTATGGGGATCCTATAGGGATCCCTATGGGGATGCTATGGGGATGCTATGGGGATGCTATGGGGATGTTATGGGGATGCTTTGGGGATGCGATGGGGATGCTATGGGGATGCTATGGGGATGCGATGGGGATGCTATGGGGATGCTATAGGGATTCTATGGGGATGCTATGGGGATGCTATGGGGATGCTATGGGGATACCATGGGGATGCTATGGGGATGCTATGGGGATGCTATGGGGATGCTATGGGGATGCTATGGGGATGCTATGGGGATGCGATGGGGATGCTATGGGGATGCTATGGGGATATCATAGGGATGCTATGGGGATGCTATGGGGATGCTATGGGGATGCTATGGGGATGCTATGGGGATGCTATGGGGATGCTATGGGGATGCTATGGGGATGATATAGGGATGCTATGGGGATGATACAGGGATGCTATGGGGATGCTATAGGGGTGCTATGGGGATGCTCTGGGGACACCACAGGGACACCATAGGGATACCATAGGGATACTATAGGGACATTATAGGGGTACTCTATGGATCCCATAGGGATACTATAGGGATACTATAGGGATACCATAGGAATACTATAGGGATACCATAGGGATATTATAGGGGTACTATAGGGATACCATAGGGGTACTATAGGGATACCATTGGGATAATATAGGGATACTATAGGGATACCATAGGGATACTATAGGGATACCATAGGGATATTATAGGGATATTATAGGGGTACTATAGGGATACCATAGGGGTACTATAGGGATACCATTGGGATAATATAGGGATACTATAGGGATACTATAGGGGTACTATAGGGATACCATAGGGATACCATAGGGATACTATAGGGGTACTATAGGGATACTATAGGGATACCATAGGGATACTATAGGGATACTATAGGGATACCATAGGGATACTATAGGGATACTATAGGGGTACTATAGGGATACTATAGGGGTACTATAGGGATACCATAGGGATGCTACAGGGATACCATAGGGATACTATAGGGGTACTATAGGGATACTATAGGGGTACTATAGGGATACCATAGGGATACCATAGGGATACTATAGGGGTACTATAGGTGTACTATAGGGATACTATAGGGATACTCTAGGGACATTATAGGGATGCTCTGGGGCTCCTCTGGGGCCCAGACCGGGGTGAGGAGGGCGCTGAAGCCCTCCTGGGCCATCTCGAGCTGGAAGGCGCTGGCGTGGGCGGTGGCGGTGCCCTCGAGGGAGAAGATCCGGTCCTGGAGCTGGCTCTGGATGCCCCGGAGGGCCTCGAAGTTGTCCACGCGGAAGACGTGGTCCTCGGGGGGCCGGGAGGCGATGGCCTGGAGCTCGGCTACGGCAGCCGGGAGGTGGAAGGCGGTGCCCACCTGGAAGGGATGGATGATGATGGATGATGGATGATGGATGATGGATGATGGGTGGATGATGGATGGATGATGGATGGATGATGGATGATGGGTGGTTGAAGGATGGATGATGGATGGATGATGATGGATGATGGATGATGGATGATGGATGGATGATGGATGGATGATGGATGGATGATGATGGATGATGGATGATGGATGATGGATGGATGATGGATGATGGATGGATGATGGATGATGGATGGATGATGGATGATGGATGGATGATGGATGATGGATGGATGATGGATGGATGATGGATGGATGATGGATGGATGATGGATGATGGATGGATGATGGATGGATGATGGATGGATGATGGATGGATGATGGATGGATGATGGATGGATGATGGATGGATGATGGATGGATGATGGATGGATGATGGATGGATGATGGATGGATGATGGATGGATGATGGATGGATGATGGATGGATGATGGATGATGGATGATGGATGATGGATGATGGATGATGATGGATGATGGATGATGGATGGATGATGGATGGATGATGGATGGATGATGATGGATGATGGATGGATGATGATGGATGATGGATGGATGATGATGGATGATGGATGGATGATGATGGATGATGGATGATGGATGGATGATGGATGGATGATGGATGGATGATGGATGGATGATGGATGGATGTGGATGGATGATGGGTGGATGATGGATGATGATGGATGATGGATGGATGATGGATGGATGATGGATGATGGATGGATGATGGATGGATGATGGATGATGATGGATGATGGATGGATGGATGATGGATGGATGATGGATGATGGATGATGGATGATGGATGGATGATGGATGGATGATGGATGGATGATGGATGGATGATGGATGGATGATGGATGGATGATGGATGGATGATGGATGGATGATGGATGGATGATGGATGGATGATGGATGATGGATGATGGATGATGGATGATGGATGATGATGGATGATGGATGGATGATGGATGATGGATGGATGATGGATGGATGATGATGGATGATGGATGGATGATGATGGATGATGGATGGATGATGATGGATGATGGATGGATGATGATGGATGATGGATGATGGATGGATGATGGATGGATGATGGATGGATGATGGATGGATGATGGATGGATGATGGATGGATGTGGATGGATGATGGGTGGATGATGGATGATGATGGATGATGGATGGATGATGGATGGATGATGGATGATGGATGGATGATGGATGGATGATGGATGATGGATGGATGGATGGATGATGGATGGATGATGGATGATGGATGGATGGATGATGGATGGATGATGGATGGATGATGGATGGATGATGGATGGATGATTGATGGATGATGGATGATGGATGATGGATGATGGATGGATGATGGATGGATGATGGATGATGGATGATGGATGATGGATGATGGATGATGATGGATGATGATGGATGATGGATGGATGATGGATGGATGATGGATGATGGGTGGGTGAAGGATGGATGATGGATGGATGATGATGGATGATGGATGATGGATGATGGATGATGGATGGATGATGGATGGATGATGATGGATGATGGATGGATGATGGATGATGGATGGATGATGGATGGATGATGGATGGATGGATGATGGATGGATGGATGGATGATGGATGGATGGATGATGGATGATGGATGATGGATGATGGATGATGGATGGATGATGGATGGATGATGATGGATGATGGATGGATGATGGATGGATGATGGATGGATGATGGATGGATGGATGATGGATGGATGGATGGATGGATGGATGATGGATGATGATGGATGATGGATGATGGATGGATGATGGATGGATGATGATGGATGATGGATGGATGATGATGGATGGATGATGGATGATGGATGGATGATGATGGATGGATGATGGATGATGATGGATGATGATGGATGATGGATGGATGATGGATGATGATGGATGATGATGGATGGATGATGGATGATGATGGATGATGGATGGATGATGGATGGATGGATGATGGATGATGGATGATGGATGGATGATGGATGATGGATGGATGATGGATGATGGATGGATGATGGATGATGGATGATGGATGGATGATGGATGGATGGATGATGGATGATGGATGGATGATGATGGATGGATGATGGATGATGTATGGATGACGATGGATGACGATGGATGCATGGATGCATGGATGCATGGATGCTGGCTCCCTCACCCCAATGGCGTAGCGCGTCACCCCCATCCTCTCGGCCAATGGGATGACGTCCTCATATTCCATCCTATCATCGAACTTCCTCCCATCCGTCACCACGATCAGCACCTTGGTGGCGTCTTCCCGGGCTCCCCTCCCCGCTGTGAACATCTGGGTCCTGCCCCATAGAAGCCCCATAGCACCCTATGGGTCACGCTTAGACGTAGTTATGGGGTCTATGGGGGGGGGGTGGGGGGGCATATGGGGCACTCACAGCGCGGTCCAGATGGCAGTGGCCGTATGGGTGGACTTCCTGAGCTGCTGGACCTGCCCCACAAGTGCTATGGGGTCCGGGGCGCTCCGGAAGGTGTTGAAGTCAAAGTGCGGGAGGACGATGTGGGAGAACTGGGAGAGGGCAAACTGGGGGGGGGGGGAGACAAAGAAAGGGGACAATGTGGGGTGAAGGCCATGGGGCAATGGGATGGGGATGTGGGGCAATGATGGAAGAGGAACCCGTTGAGTAGGTAGAAGAGGAACCCATTGAGTCAATGGAAGAGGAACCCATTGAGTCGATGGAAGAGGAGCCCATTGAGTCAATGGAAGAGGAGCCCATTGAATCGATGGAAGGGGAACCCATTGAGTCGATGGAAGAGGAGCCCATTGAGTCGATAGAAGAGGAGCCCATTGAGTCGATGGAAGAGGAACCCATTGAGTCGATGGAAGAGGAGCCCATTGAATCGATGGAAGAGGAACCCATTGAGTCGATGGAAGAGGAGCCCATTGAATCAATGGAAGAGGAACCCATTGAGTAGGTAGAAGAGGAGCCCATTGAGTCAATGGAAGAGGAACCCATTGAGTAGGTAGAAGAGGAACCCATTGAATCGATGGAAGAGGAACCCATTGAGTCGATGGAAGAGGAACCCATTGAGTCGATGGAAGAGGAGCCCATTGAGTCAATGGAAGAGGAGACCATTGAGTCGATGGAAGAAGAACCCATTGAGTCGATAGAAGAGGAACCCATTGAGTCGATGGAAGAGGAGCCCATTGAGTCGATGGAAGAGGAGCCCATTGAGTCGATAGAAGAGGAACCCATTGAGTCGATGGAAGAGGAACCCATTGAGTCGATGGAAGAGGAGCCCATTGAATCAATGGAAGAGGAGCCCATTGAGTCGATGGAAGAGGAGCCCATTGAGTCAATAGAACCCAAGCCATCGCCATTGAGCTCCAATGGTGGGAACCCCATGGCGATGCCACCTCCATGGGGGTACCTGCGTGTCGGTGCCCTTGAAGTGCTTCATGACCTCCCCAATGAAGGTCTTCATGGTCCGGAATTCCTCGGCCTTGATGCTTCCGGAACCATCCATGAGGAAAACCACGTCCGTGGCGCGCTTGGGACAATCTATGGGGCAGGCGTATGGGGACAACCAAGCCATGGGGGGGGGGGGGGGGGGTGGGTCCCTATGGGGCCAATGGGGCCGCTATGGGGAGCCCCATACCTGGTTGGGTCATTGGGATGAGCTGGAGCTGCTGGAGGTTGGTGTCCAGGAGGGCGCAGAAGCCATTGAGGTGGATGTTCTCCCCACAAGTGTGGGGCAGTGTGGGGCCACAGGCCTATGGGGGGGGGCATAGAGACCCACTGGGGGGGTGAAACCTCCTTGATGGCCCCATAGGAACCCATTGGAGATGCCATCTCCAACCCAACTCACCAGGGCCCCCTTGTTCCCAGCGCTCAAGGCCAACCCCAAGGATGCGTTGACGGCACCGGGAGGTCCTAAGAGATGGATTGGTCACTTATGGGGTGGAGGAGGTCACTTATGGGGTGGAGGAGGTCACTTATGGGGTGGGGGAGGTCACTTATGGGGTGTGGGGGAGGTCACTTATGGGGTGTGGAGGAGGTGACTTATGGGGTGGGGTAGGTGATTTATGGGGTGTGAGGGAGGTCATTTATGGGGTAGAGGAGGTCACTTATGGGGTGTGGGGAAGGTCACTTATGGGGTGGAGGATGTCACTTATGGGGTGTAGAGGAGGTCAGTTATGGGGTGTGAGGGAGGTCACTTATGGGGTGGAGGTCGTCATTTATGGGGTGTGGGGAAGGTCACTTATGGGATGTGGAGGTGGTCACTTATGGGGTGACCTCCCCTTATGGGGTGGAGGAGGTCACTTATGGGGTGTGGAGGAGGTCACTTATGGGGGGGGAGGAGGTCACTTATGGGGTGTGGGGCAGGTCACTTATGGGGTGTGGGGCAGGTCACTTATGGGGTGTGGAGGTCACTTATGGGGTGTGGAGAAGGTCACTTACGGGTGTGGGGCAGGTCACTTATGGGGTGTGGGGCAGGTCACTTATGGGGTGTGGGGCAGGTCACTTATGGGGCATGGCTGAGGTCACTTATGGGGTGTGGGGGAGGTCACTTATGGGGTGGAGGAGGTCACTTATGGGGGGGAGGTCACTTATGGGGTGGAGGAGGTCACTTATGGGGGGGAGGAGGTCACTTATGGGGTGTGGGGCAGGTCACTTATGGGGGGGAGGTCACTTATGGGGTGTGGAGGTCACTTATGGGGTGCGGAGAAGGTCACTTATGGGGGGGAGGTCACTTATGGGGCATGGCTGAGGTCACTTATGGGGTGTGGGGCAGGTCACTTATGGGGTGTGGAGGTCACTTATGGGGTGTGGGGGAGGTCACTTATGGGGTGTGGGGCAGGTCACTTAGGGGGTGGGGGAGGTCACTTATGGGGTGTGAGGGAGGTCACTTATGGGGTGTGGGGGAGGTCACTTATGGGGTGTGGAGGAGGTCACTTATGGGGTGGAGGAGGTCACTTATGGGGTGTGGGGCAGGTCACTTATGGGGTGGAGAAGGTCACTTATGGGGTGTGGGGAAGCTCACTTATGGGGTGGAGGATGTCACTTATGGGGTGTGGGGAAGGTCACTTATGGTGTGTGGAGGAGGTCACTTATGGGGTGGGGGAGGTCACTTATGGGGTGTGGAGGAGGTCACTTATGGGGTGTGGAGGAGGTCTCTTATGGGGTGGAGGAGGTCACTTATGGGGGGGGAGGAGGTCACTTATGGGGTGGAGGAGGTCACTTATGGGGTGTGGAGGAAGTCACTTATGGGGTGTGGGGCAGGTCACTTATGGGGTGGAGGAGGTCACTTATGGGGTGTGGGGCAGGTCACTTATGGGGTGTGGAGAAGGTCACTTATGGGGGGGGAGGTCACTTATGGGGTGTGGGGCAGGTCACTTATGGGGTGTGGGGGAGGTCACTTATGGGGTGTGGGGGAGGTCTCTTATGGGGTGGGGGAGGTCACTTATGGGGTGTAGAGGGAGGTCACTTATGGGGTGTGGGGCAGGTCACTTATGGGGTGTGGGGCAGGTCACTTATGGGGTGTGGAGGTCACTTATGGGGCATGCCTGAGGTCACTTATGGGGCGCTCACCCCTAATGGGCACCTCTTGGCACGTCCCGGTGCGGTACCGGCACCGATGGATGCTCCCTCTCGCGCCGCGCTCCAATGGGGCCCCTACCAGGACCCTATGGGGCAGGTTCACGGTGTGTATGTGGGGGGGGGGCACTTGTGGGTCTCCAGCCCCATAAGTGTGGGGTGAACACCCCCCCCCTTTACCATCCATCGTCGCCGGTGCCGAACTGGGCCACGGCGTGGCCGAAGGCCCCATTGGGGTCGCCGCGGAAGACGAGCGCCGCGTCCGCGTCCACCATGGAGCAGCGGCCGTGGGGCAGAGCTGTGGGGTTTGGGGGGGGGGGTCAATGGGGCAGCCAATGGGGGAGGAGGCACCTCCTCACAGCAGCCAATGGGGGAGGTTGGGGGGATCCCTGTTAGCCAATGAGGGAGGGGAAAGACCCCAACCACAGCAGCCAATAGGGTTCAGGGGATCCCCGACAGCCAATGAGGGGGGGGGGAGACCCCAACCCCACAGCAGCCAATGGGGGAGGTTGGGGGGATCCCCGACAGCCAATGAGAGAGGGGGGAGACCCCAACCACAGCAGCCAATAGGGTTCAGGGGATCCCCGACAGCCAATGAGGGAGTGGGGAGACCCCAATCACAGCAGCCAATGAGAGAGGTTGGGGGGATCCCTGACAGCCAATGAGGGGGGAGACCCTCATCAGCCAATGAGAGAGGTTGGGGGGATCCCTGACAGCCAATGAGGGAGGGGGGAGACCCCAACCACAGCAGCCAATGGGGGAGGTTGGGGGGATCCCCAACAGCCAATGAGGGAGGGGGGAGACCCCAACCCTACAGCAACCAATGGGGGAGGTTGGGGGGATCCCCGACAGCCAATGAGAGGGGAGATCCTCATCAGCCAATGAGAAAGGTTGGGGGGATCCCCGACAGCCAATGAGGGAGGGGGGAGACCCCAACCCCACAGCAACCAATGGGGGAGGTTGGGGGGATCCCTGACAGCCAATGAGAGGGGAGACCCTCATCAGCCAATGAGAGAGGTTGGGGGGATCCCCAACAGCCAATGAGGGAGGGGAAAGACCCCAACCACAGCAGCCAATGGGGGAGGTTGGGGGGATCCCTGACAGCCAATGAGGGGGGAGACCCTCATCAGCCAATGAGAAAGGTTGGGGGGATCCCTGACAGCCAATGAGGGAGGGGAGAGACCCCAACCACAGCAGCCAATAGGGTTCAGGGGATCCCCGACAGCCAATGAGGGAGGGGAGAGACCCCAACCACAGCAGCCAATGGGGGAAGTTGGGGGGATCCCTGACAGCCAATGAGGGGGGAGACCCTCATCAGCCAATGAGAGAGGTTGGGGGGATCCCCGACAGCCAATGAGGGGGGAGATCCTCATCAGCCAATGAGAAAGGTTGGGGGGGATCCCCGACAGCCAATGAGGGAGGGGGGAGACCCCAACCCCACAGCAGCCAATGGGGGAGGTTGGGGGGATCCCTGACAGCCAATGAGGGGGGAGACCCTCATCAGACAATGAGAGAGGTTGGGGGGATCCCTGACAGCCAATGAGGAAGGGGGAAGACCCCAACCCCACAGCAACCAATGGGGGAAGTTGGGGGGATCCCCGACAGCCAATGAGAGAGGGGAAAGACCCCAACCACAGCAGCCAATAGGGTTCAGGGGATCCCCGACAGCCAATGAGGGAGGGGAGAGACCCCAACCCCTCATCAGCCAATGAGAGAGGTTGGGGGGATCCCTGACAGCCAATGAGGGAGGGGGGAGACCCCAACCCCACAGCAGCCAATGGGGGAGGTTGGGGGGATCCCCGACAGCCAATGAGGGGGAAGACCCCCATCAACCAATGGGGGATGTTGGGGTGCCCCCAGCACCCAATGGGGTGCCATTGATGACCCCATCACCCAATAGGGGACCCATTGATGACCCCATCACCCAATAGGGGACCCATTGATGACCCCATCACCCAATAGGGGACCCATTGATGACCCCATCACCCAATGGGGTGCCATTGATGACCCCCATCACCCAATAGGGTGCCATTGATGACCCCATCACCCAATGGGGGCCCATTGATGACCCCAGCACCCAATGGGGGGCCATTGATGACCCCTTCACCCAATGGGGGGCCATTGATGACCCCATCACCCAATGGGGTGCCATTGATGACCCCAGCACCCAATAGGGGACCCATAGGGGTGCCCCCCAGCACCCAAAAGTGGGGCTGTGTCCCCCCCCCGCCCCCAACCCCCCTTTGCCACCTACCAGCACCCAAGAGGACGAGCAGCACCCATGGGTCCATGGCACCCCCTCGTGAAGCCGATGGCCAATGGGGAAGCGCATTGGGTGTAAGAGGAAGGAAAAGGGGGGCGGGACATTGGGGATATGGGGCGGGGGGAAGGGAAGTTGTGGGTCACATGGTGTCATGTCCCCACCCCCACCCCCCGGTGTTGGGTCTGACCCACATCCTCTTTTGGGGGGGGTTAAGCAACCACAGGGGTGACGTCGACTTCCTATCGCAGTTGTGGGGTAAGTGGGGGGCGGAGACGGGCTATGGGTCAGCTGCGGCCCGTTGACCATCATTGGACACCATTGACACCCATTGACCCCCATTGACCACCATTGACCCCCATTGACCACCATTGACACCCATTGACCACCATTGACACCCATTGACCACCCATTGACCCCCATTGACCACCATTGACCCCCATTGACCCCCATTGACCCCCATCGACCACCATTGACCATCATTGGACACCATTGACCCCCATTGACCCCCATCGACCACCATTGACCATCATTGGACACCATTGACCCCCATTGACCCCCATCGACCACCATTGACCATCATTGGACACCATTGACCCCCATTGACCACCATTGACCCCCATTGACCACCATTGACACCCATTGACCACCCATTGACCCCCATTGACCACCATTGACCCCCATTGACCCCCATTGACCCCCATCGACCACCATTGACCATCATTGGACACCATTGACCCCCATTGACCCCCATCGACCACCATTGACCATCATTGGACACCATTGACACCCATTGACCCCCCATTGACCCCCATCGACCCCCATTGACCACCATTGACCCCCATTGACCCCCATTGACCCCCATTGGCCCCCATTGACATTTTTGGGGCGTTTTGGTTTTTTTTTGGGCCGTTTTGAGTTGTTTGGGACCATTTGGGGCATTTTGGGGCCCTTTTGGGCTGTTTCAGGCCGTTTGGGGCATTTTGGTGGCAGCTTGGGTTGATTTGTGTGGGTTTGGGCATTTTCGGACCGTTTGGGGCTGGTTTGCGCTGGTTTGGGCCATTTTGGGCATTTTTGAGCAGTTTGGGGCATTTTTGACTGATTTGGGCTGTTTTGGACCGATTTGGGCTGTTTTGTGCCATTTTGGACCGTTTTGGGTGGTTTTGGGCTGTGTTGGACCATTTTGGGCTGGTTTGGACCCATTTGGGCTGTTTTGGAACTATTTCGGCTGTTTTGTGCCATTTTGGGCTGTTTTGTGCCATTTTGGGCTGGTTTGGACCATTTTGGGGTGATTTGGACCCATTTGGGCTGTTTTGTGCCATTTTGGGCTGGTTTGGACCGTTTTGGGCTGGTTTGGACCATTTTGGGCTGGTTTGGACCATTTTGGGCTGGTTTGGACCATTTTGGGCTGGTTTGGACGGTTTTGGGGTGGTTTGGACCCATTTGGGCTGTTTTGGACCAATTAGGGCTGTTTTGGGCCATTTTGGGCTGGTTTGGACCGATTTGGGCTGTTTTGTGCCATTTTGGGCTGGTTTGGGTTGTTTTGTGCCGTTTTGGGCGTTTTTGGACCATTTTGGGACCGTTTTGGACCGTTTTGTGCAGTTTTGGGACCGTTTTGAGACCGTTTTGGACCGTTTTGGGCCGTTTTGGGACCGTTTTGGCCCCGTTTTGGGACCGTTTTGGGACCGTTTTGTGCCGTTTTGGGACCGTTTTGGTCCGTTTTGGGACCGTTTTGGGACCGTTTTGGGACCGTTTTGGGGCCGTTTTGTGCCGTTTTGTGACCGTTTTGAGCCGTTTTGGGTCGTTTTGGGCCATTTTGTGCCGTTTTGGGCCGTTTTGGGAACGTTTTGGGACCGTTTTGGGCCGTTTTGGGACCATTTTGTGCTGTTTTGTGCCGTTTTGGGACCGTTTTGGGACCATTTTGTGCTGTTTTGGTCCGTTTTGGGACCGTTTTGGGACCGTTTTGGGACCGTTTTGTGCTGTTTTGGTCCGTTTTGGGGCCGTTTTGGGACCGTTTTGGGCCGTTTTGTGCCATTTTGGGACCGTTTTGGGCCGTTTTTTGCCGTTTTGTGCCATTTTGGGATAGTTTTGGGCCATTTTGTGCCGTTTTGGGACCGTTTTGGGGCCGTTTTCCGCTGTTTCAGCTCCGTTTCGAATCGTTTTGGCGCCGCCCCTCCCCCTCTCCGCCTCCTTCCCC